TCCAGCTGCTTCTACTTAATTCATCAGCTAAGTCGAGAAGAATCAGCCTTGGATCTCTCCCCTTTCACCCTGAGAGTGGCTGTGCAGCTTTGGCCACCACTGCCCTGACTGTAGCTAGCAGACACAGCCACATCCTGAGCAGCTGACACTTGCAAGGGATCTTGCTTCTCAAAGCAAAGCCATCTCTTTTGAAAGTCTCACCCTTCTGTGGTAACTGAACAGCAATGGAGCATTTTGGGAAGACAGCCAAGGGAGTGAAGGGAGACACCCAGGTCTTGGCATGAGAGTTTTCCCAGCTCAGCTTGTGTCCTCTGAGGCACAGTCCCACAGTCCAGAGCTGCTGGGGTGCCAGTGGGAGCCAGTGCCCACTGGAGACTTCTCAGAAACACTGCAGATGCGGCGAGTGAGCGCCTCACACCAAGTGAAGACACCAATCGTCGTTTCCTTCCTCTTTTCCAGAGACAGAAACAACCACAGTACCGCACAGAGCCCGTGCCCTGCTGCTCCGCCCTCTATGAATCATACCAGGCTGAGAGGAGCAGTGACAGAAATGCCCCTGCCAGCCTTGTGTAGGGTGCTTGTGAAAGACCTGAGACAGACATGTCGCTCATCCCTTCGTAACCAGAAAGGCAGCAATAGCTATTCTTTTGCTTGCTAATAACTCACAGCTCATGCAAGGCTGGAGGCCAGCTTCCCACACTCGGGAAGGGATGTGCCACAGGGTTTAGTACTTTGAGACATCTCAGTGCTTTGAGACATCTCAGTGCTTTGAGACATCCCCCCTCCTCCCACTTCCAAAATGCAGCAGCTGGAGTCCAGCTACCAGTACAACAGCGGCTGCAGAAGCCAGGCCTTGGGAATGACTTGGATACTGACACTGATTTTAGAAATGGCACACAAAATAAATGTGCTACTGCAAGGCCACCTGCAAGTGACAGAAGTCTGACTGAGGCAGGGCCAGGTCTGTTTGCAGAGTAGGGCAGTTGCCTATGGTGCAGGTAAGAGGAGTCCTGAGGAGCATCTCCTCTGTCCTGCTGAACACACAGGGCAGCTTCATCATGATGCCCTTCTGCCTCCCAAGTGACAGGGACCCTGCTGACACACAGAGGCTGCAGCGTCACATCACAGTGAGCAAGAGGTCCAGGCCAGTGGAAAGGCCACCACAGCTGTAGGTAAGCAGCTATATAACACAAACACCTAGATACACAAAACCAGTCGTTTTCCCCCTGAATTTTGTTTTCAATAACTGGCTGCTCAGAGCACAAGGTGAAGGGCACACAGATCTGCCATGAGAGGTACATGCTGATAAGTGGTCAGCTCTTACCATTGTGGAGGAAATCTCTGAGAGTTAGAATACATTTCCTCATATTCAGGGACATAAATTCATTATTGTCATTTCAGAGCAAGGGAGTTTGGCTAATCCAGTTGTGGTCATATCTGGCTTGTTTAAGAAGCTGAACTGACTTGTAATTAAGTTAAGATAGTTAACTTGCTCACAAAGGCAAGAGCAGACAAGCATTCTGATGTTCTGAAATGAAGTTTTTTATTCCTTTTATATTAACCTGAGCTGTGTGCAATCAAAGCACTAGGAGAAAGTGCTAAAAAGACATGGATTGCCCTATTTATTGGAAATTATTCTAATGGCTGCATTCACTCAAATGCTATAGTAGTACAGGAAAGGCTGAGATGTAAAGAGTGCTGACATTTCTTTTTCCTTCATGTCCGATCCCTCTGGTGATTTCTTTTATAATGGTGCCATATATAGAGTCCCTTAAACACATTTTCTTTATTAACACAAGTATCAGCTAGTTTGTGTTCACACACTTTAGTAAACATAGAGTTCCCACAAAAATTGCACAAAAATTTGCAAACTGTTAATTGCAAATATCAGGCAAAACAGTATCAATTCTATCTACCAAGCTTGAATAATTTTCTCCATGAAAAATCGGGGGAGGGGGCAAGAGTGATGATTTGAAGCATATTTTTGCTGTTTACTTGTAGAAAATATTTCTATTGTGTGCTGCATATCAAGTAAGTTTAAAAGCCTGGGAAATCTGTATTCAAAATAATTATTTTTTAAATAAAACTGTTAACCTGTTTTAATAACAAGCAAAAAGAAGATTTGCAACTGAACAACAAATGGAAAGGGATCCGTTTGAGAAGACAGAAGGAGAATATTTGGGCAAGGTCCCTTCTCTCAGCTGAAAGCTTGACCCAACCAAGGCAGGGCTGAACATTTTTCCTGTTTTTCTGTTTTTCAAAGCAAAAGAAATTGAAAATCCACATGTGTCATTTTAATGTATTTTAAATACCAGAGCCAGATTTTAACCTCCAAACAGTACCCAGACCCTGTTACCCAAGTAAACACAAGCAAAACTGCCCTGGAAGGGTTTCACAGGAGACCTCAGCAGTCCCTCGTAGTTCCCACCACAGAGAACAGGGCTGCACTTGTGCAAGCAGCAAACCCCAATATACCACTGGGCCAAATCTTCAGCTGAGTTCTGCTGTGTCCAGATTTCAACCTGTGTTTGGGGCTACCACACTTTTTGAGTACGTGGGTTCTATAGCTCTGGGAAAACTGCATTACAGGCACTAAAATATATGTGCCTCACAGTTTGCTCCCAGTGAAAAGTGCCTTTTGGCTTTGAGAGTCTGAAAATAACCAGGCTGTGAAAATTTGAACTGTTTTTTTCACAGAGCATAAAACCAAAATCCCCATTACTTTATACTCTTTCCAAATTGATTTTAAAAATCAGCTGGCTTCCAGTGGCCTCACACTTTGCACTGGCTCTAGAATGCACAATCAAGAGTATATCAAGCCATCCCTACATTTCCTGTGTACCGTGTATCATCAGTTCAGACATCTCAAAGAAGCCTATCCACCTGGCTTCACTGAATTGCAACAGACATCAATTTCTTAATTTTGTAACACACCATAACAAGTTTTGTGAAGCTAATACAGATGAGATTTTCAGTTACATCTTTGTCTGGTTTAGTCTTTGATAACAATTCTGTGGAGCCTTTTGGTGCCCGAATGTGGCACTTTGTGGTAGATACCACAACACAGCATTCTCACCTGGTGATTACTGCTCTTCAGCACATAAAAACTGCATGAACTGTTGTAAACAGACTTTAACCCACTGAGGAAAAAAAAAAGACAACTGAATAGAGCATTCTGGAAAAAATATGTCTTAAAAATAGTTGAAACCAGGTATTCAATCCATTAGTGGAGGAGGGAACATAACAAAAATGTCCCTAGTTGTAACAGATTTGAAAATTCATAACACAACATTTTTCATGCAATCTTTAATGTTCAAACCTTAACAATGGCTTTTAAATTAGAGTTACAAAACCTAAGACTTCCAGTGGAGAGGTGTTGCAAGAGTTGACATGTAGAAGAATATTTCTCCCAAAAGCTAAAAGATTTTTAACCGAGGACCACAAATAATTAGCAACTTGAGTATCTCTACATAAGTACAATGCCATTCAGATTCTTTTACAAATATGTCAGTTTTAGTGTTTCGGTAACAAATCAACACTTGAGAAGAAAGAGAAGTAGGAAAGAGAAGAATTTAGGGAAGATGGGTGGTGGCAAAAGTCCGTGTCTTGTGTGCTCAGATGCAGAAGTTTGTAAAGATTTAAGGCTGATATAAAAACCTCAGATGAGACCAGGATATTTTTATGATCAGAAGCCTCCCTCACAATCAGGTTGATGAGTGGTAAATATTCAACAGCCCAGAAGCTGGTGGGACAATCACAACTCTGGGTGTTCTGTGTCCCACCGGTAATCAAGGTGCCCACTGGGTAAATACTTGCTCACCTACATCACAGGTGAGATAATCCTACCTTTTATGGCACCATGCTATAACCACCTCAAAGGTTAGTTCCTAGCTAGCTGAAGGACAGGAAAAGGGACAAAGAAAATCTTGCTGCAGTAAGAAATTCTCTTGGGATGAGACGGATCTGCAAGACCTGAGAGGGGGTGCAGGACAGAGGGGGCAGATAACATGAGGAGGGGACCACCACAATTCACAAGGAATGTACAGCATTGTGGCTTGAGCCCACTTCATCTTCTAGCAGAGTTCTCTTACACACCTGAAGTTTCCATTTCCTTAGCCTGCCTTTCTGTGTAGAAGGGTAACTTGGCCACACTTCATCCATCAGGATTTGGCTCCTAGACTCAACAGGTTCCCCAGGATGTGAAGCCTGGTTCAGTCTTACCGGGATACAACCTAGGCAATTATACTTAGCATGCAAACTCAAAAAAAAAAAAAAAGTCATTTAGCCATTCTAAAGTCAACCTTGCTTTGTACTCAATCTTTTACTAATGTTGGTGACTGGTTCCAGTAAAACCACTGCTTTGTTTTGTATTTTTAGTACAAAGTGTACTAAAAATATATGAGAATTTAAGTGCTCATGAAAAAATATCTTCCATCTCTGGAGACTGAAATCTTTTGTCTCCAGAATTACAGCAGGGACAACAGAGGTGATGGCAGCACAGATTCATCCCTGCCAGCCCAGCCATATGTCTAAGCCAACCCTGTCTGCAAGCCCTGAGGTTGTAAGACAGTGAAGTCTAGGAAGAATCAGATTAGTTTCCCACCTTTGACCACATTGTTGAGGAACAATATTAAGGTAACAAATCTCACAAAACTGCAGGAGACAGCTGTCAAATGTCACTAAGTTTTGATTATTCATATGCCGGACATACTGATGACTGTTATGCAATGACTCAAGCAAGTCTAAGGCTTGCCTGCAGACCATTTATTTCATGGATAGGACAGTTCATTTCTGTGGTTAGCTAAAGGGAGAACCACCAAAATATTAAAACAAACTTTTGTAATTTTCAACAACATATCCAAGAGTCCTCTAAATAAAATACACATTGGTCAGGTTTTATATACTACATTCTTAAGTAAAAAAAAAAAAAATCCACAAGGACAGAGATAGGGGCTGATCCAGGCACAATTTTGTCATTAAATAAATGCAGATGCAGACAAACCAACAACTGAGAAGCATTGACAGAAACAAAACCAAAATAACAGATAACAGTACTGCTGTTATCTGCAGATCTGCAGGCTAGGCCTGCAGCAGTTCAGGCTTGCCAAGTCCAAACACAGGCCTGTGAATAAGGGTATGCACCTTTCATTTTTCAAGATAGCACACATGTGTTTTGGAGGGAAGAGGCTCAGATAAAGAGCACACCTGTCTCATAAATAGGCACCTGCACTGTGGTCCTTCCAGGAGCCCTCCTTTGATTCACCTCCCATTCCCTCTGCTGCAGCGTCTTTGTGAGAAAACAGAAAGAACAAACGTGAGCAAAACCACTGCTGACAGTCCTCAAAAGATCTTGCACTCATTAATGGAGAAGAGCTTCCGCCTGTTCTGCCTTTTGGCTTGGTTGACCGCTGTCCTCACAGCATACTCAAACACCTGCTGCACTCCCCTGTTGCTGAGGGCAGAGCACTCCAAGTAGCCCTTGGCTCGCACATCCTGGGCGAGCCGCTTTCCGTCCATAGGGCTGATGCAGGAGGAGCTGTAGGGACCCACGTCCCGCTGGTCAGTCTGAGTGGCCACCACCAAAACGGGGATGCGGGGCAAATGGCTGCGGATCTCGCTGATCCATTTGTTCCTCAGGTTCAGGAAGGAATTGTGGTTTGCCACCGAGTAGCACATTAATACCACATCTGCCTGTTGGTAGGAGAGGGGGCGAATGCCTTTAAAGGCATCACTGCCTGATGTGTCCCAAAGACCTAAGCTGATCTGTACGCCATCCATGAAGACATCTACTCCGGTATTTTCATATACAGTGGGTCTGTAGTCATCTGGAAAAGTCTCAGAGGTGAAACGTACCAGGAGAGATGTTTTCCCAACGGCAGAGTCTCCCACCAGAACACACTTGACTGAATCCAGCATTTTATTAACGTCCAAGGCCAAGAGTGCAGTCTCTGTGCAGCAGGAGCGAGATGGAGAGAAGCAGTGGTCTTAGAAGCCTTCTATATAATTTCCATTTAGTGAGAAACCATCCAAATCTCTTTACTTCTTATGACTCGATTCTGCCACTTGAGACTAAAATTTCACTTTCTTCCACATGACTCTGTTGGTTTTAAATCTTCAATGAGTCAAATGACGTTTCTGGAAAGTAAAAATAAAATGTAACATTTATAACCCACAGAGAACAAATCATTCCTCATCAAGATGAAGATGCCTGGACACATCTTTGGACAGGTATGGCAAGTATCCCTCACTGAGGATGATGAACTTTTCTATTTCCTCCCAGCCAGCTGTGTGTGCAACAGCCATTCGCATAAATAACCTTCTTGCTGCTCCACAGGGGCTAACAGTCTTAGCACTATTACCATTTTCCACTGACACAAGCTATTTTTTCCTTCCAATTGTCTAGAGACTAATAAAGTTAATTTAACTTTTATATAACTGCTACTAATACGCTGTGAGACATTCCCTGTCTCTGACTTTCACCAAGACAGAATCCTGAATCCCTAAATGATCAGTTCAGATTCCCTTGAAAATGTAGTCATGCTCTCTAGAGGTAGTCAGGAGGAAAAAAAAAGCTCTTTGCTAACCAATTTTACTATTTAAAAAATCCCATATGAAACAGTAACACAGAACCATTTGTGACAATGAGGAAGCAAAGACTTCAGGAGTGAATCTCAATTCATGTGAACCTGAACAATTTTTAAAAGCAAAGAAAGATTCACAGCAAAAGAAAAAACCAAAAACAGGGTAAATTTTTTCTTACAAATTGCTTTCAACAATCAAGAAACACAAGCAAAAAAAGCCCCACTACCAATGCTTGCCCCAGTAAAAATTTCATTTGAAGGGAATTTAACTGTCCTGGCATTTACTCCCTTGTAAAACTGAACTAAGAGTACTCTTCAGAGTATGTAATTGCTTTTGAGCTCCTGCCAGCATTCAGTCAAATTTTCCTATTTTGAAAGCATTTGTTTCTTCCTCACTAACTGTGTGCAAGATTCACTGCTCACACAGGGTGACACGCAAGATGCTCCGAAAATCACTAACAGCAAAACTGAAGACAAATTAGTTCTGATGAACAAGAGTAATTAAAAAGAAAGTATCACTGCATAATTTCAAAATGTCATGTGTTTTTTACATAAATAATATATTTCTGTTTCCTTCATATAGGTAGAGAGACATCCCAGCTGAAGGCTATTTGCACAGATATAAATGATGGCCACAAAGGGCGTATACTGTATTTTACTGTAATGCTCTCCACTTTCAGTACCCTAACACACCACCCCTCTCCCTTTATTTCTAGAACACTCCAAGCTTTGGCTTACTCCACAAAGGGGGAAACACAAAGGGAAAGTGCTAAATGAGCTTCAAGAGAACATTTTACAGGTACCGACAATTGCTACTGCCCTGCTTTCGTTTTGTGCAGAGGCCATGCCCTACCTCCTCTGGCGCTGCGGGCACACCTGCACCTCTCCCGCTCACGGCCCGGCTGCCGGCAGATGTGTGCCCGCGGCTCGCTGCTTTATGGAGGCGGCCCCGGGCCCGCGGGCCGTCCCTGTGCGCGCTCGGGTTACCGTATCTACAGGAGCCATTGCAACACTCGGCGCTTCCTGGCCTGCCGCCGACACCGCGGCTCTGACTGCCGCTCGCTTCTAGGAACTGGGATGGAGGCTGAGGCTGCTTCACGGCATTCCTGGCTGCCGGGAAACAGGCTGCACTGAGAATTTAAGCTTTAGTGGCAGCAGATGAAAATTTGCTTGTAAAGATTCATTACATCTAACTCCACACTCTTGCCTTCTCTGTTCTCCAAACAAGCTCTCAAGGGAACGAAACGAGACCTTTACAAAACACATCTATGAAAAATTCAAAAAGCATATGTAGGATAAACATTCAAATTGCTTATAGGAATAATAATCTCTCTTTCAGAGTATTCTATTTCAAAATTGGGTCACCAGTATTGTTTGAAAACACCTCACTTTCACCACAAGACAGTAATGTCCTATTCAGACAAAGATGCATACCCTCAGGAGAAAGTTTCCATGTACCAAGTATCCTTTCCAGAACAAACATTTCTTTGGTGCGAGGAGTCCTCAGTGCCTTCAGATGCATTATTTTGTGCACATTGGAATGTGGGGGAAATAAGGATGTCCAAAGCATGACTTTTGCAATTTCATAAATGCCAAAACAGAGAAAGACAGATAAAGGGATTGTTCTGGCACTCAACTTGTGGATTACCAGGTCAAATTATGCTGGTTATTTTGAAAATATAAAAATTATTAAAGATTGAAAGAGATATTAAGGACTTGTGAATATGGCTAGTTGACAGACAATACAAGATGCTGAAATATCCCACTGTGACAGTGCAGAATTGTTTTCAAAGCAGATTATATTGTTCTACATTCCATCCAGTAAATAATAAAAAACCCTGGTATATAACAAGGTCCATATTGTGATCCTGTGGACAAATTGCCTTCGATGGCCCTGGTCTTGCATTTGTTAACAACAATTCATGTGCTTCCATATATAATTGGGACTACATATGTGCATATTGAAGCATTATCTGTAATTAGGCACCTAGTTGGTCCTTGTTGCAGCCTCAGGGTAAGAGCAGCATTACTGTATTAAAATAATTACACAAGTTCACCTCACTGGATGGAAAATGCTTGATTAAGCATCAACAAAAAGCTGTGTCCTTTAAAGAGCGTACTTCAAAGTGTCCTTTAAAGACAGTACTGGACACTTCTGTGCCTCAGTATACAACCAGTTTTATAAACATTTGCAAAAGTTTTTGTCTCTTTCTCTCATATTCTGTCTTGGTCCGACAGCACAGTGTGCTACAACCATTACAAGATTGCAGAAAAACTGATCACAAATCAGAGATGGAGTCTAAGCTGTGGAGGCTTTTTTTTTCATCCAACAATTTGATTTTCAAAAATTTACCAACTTTATTAAGATAATTTTGTATATGGAATTCAAGATATAAACCTCTATCTTCTTTTATGCTTTTTTGGTTTATGCTTTCATCACTCATAACAACAGAAGATATTATTTGAATAGTAAGGTAAGACCTGTTATAAAATCACTAGGTATAAGAATGCATGTCTTATTCTTGTGTGGTCATGCTGAGTAGTGATCTTCAGTAAGCTTCAGGTTTTGTTCCTTCTGTCTTTGGAATACAGGCACTCGTGCATGGTTACAGAGATCTCGGACTTCACTGGTGGTGTGAGCGCAAGAAGCCCTACAACAGTTGCCCTTGGTCAGTGTCTGAGCTGCACCTCAGCAATCTCATGCAAGTAAAATGCCTCACACTTGCTCATGGCTGAATACCATACGGAGAAGGTGAGTGGGGTTGCCAGCCTGCAATGGGACGGGATGAAAAGCAGAGCACAGCAGCATCAAGCTCTTTGAGGTAGAGGATTCAAGTGAATATACATCCCATGAAAAACTAATCTGGTATTTGTTGAAAGAGCTCTAGCAACAAAGGAAAGCAGGACTACTACATCAAAAGGGGTAAGTTTATCAGCTGGACCAAATGGGATTTTCATTTATGCCAAGAATATCTCTGGCATCTACTATAAGATCATTGTGAGAATGACTTGCTATGGCTAAACATCTCCAGGGAATGGACAGCATCTTGTGATAGGGGAAAATAAAAAGAGTCAGGAAGTCCAATTTCAAAACCTCTCTTAGATCCTGATAGTGCTCACTCAGGTAGGCTGGAATTTCAATGGAATTAGCTCATACATAAACAAACCATGCAAGCAACCAGCTTTTTGGATCAGTCACAAAGTGCTTCAGAGAGTTAAAGCAGTTAACATGCTAACTATTATTGCCATTATCCACTCCCTACCTCAATTACATCTCAGCAGAGGTCCTGTTTATGTCAGGACAACAGCAGATTAATTTTTCAGTTTGAGCACTGTGTATGCTAGTTCTTGAAGAGACTTGACATGGCAAGGAAATTAAAACATTTAGACTAATATAAGAAGTTGAAACCATAGGAGACACTTCCACCAACTGTGCAGTACTTGAATGTATATACTGTCTTTGCCTACCTACTCTACTCTTTTAAATCCCACCTCACACAGAGGTGGGGTCTGCTAAACAGTGCCTACAGTTCTTCTTCAACGTGCTGACTGTAACCACTGCTCCTTGCAATTGCACCACAGATATGTAAGAACTCTCCTCACATCCCTTAGCTAAACACTCTCAAGGAGAGGAAGGAGGCACAAAGACTACCCTCACTGACAAGAGCAGTGTCCAGCTTTACACCTTCACCTCCATGGGCACAGTGGGCACTGCAGGGCATGGACAGGGCCTGAGAAAACTCCTGCAAGCAGAAGGAGGAGGAGGAAGGCTGGCAGGAATCAACACAGGGCAGAGATGCTGCTGTCTGGTTAGTGACAGCACCCAGAAGATGCAGCCCCTTGTGACACAGAAACTGTGGCTGTTGTGACTCCAGTTTGGACACTCTGCTAGATCACCAGGTTGTCAAGGTCACACTGCCTGCTTTTCTGCTCTGTGGATGAGGTTGCTCCATTCAGATACAAACCTCCAGATTGCTTCCACAGCACACGTCTTCTGAAAACTAAAATCCATTAGCTGCAGTCTGTCTGGAGACTGCAAATAAACAAATCCTTGCTGCACTGTCATGCATTCACTCAGCTGATTCTCTGACATCTGCATTAGCTGCCTCCTGTTTTCTTAACTCCTTTCAAGACAATTTTGATCTCTAGCCCTGTCTTGCCAATCAGCCTCCATCCACCTCAGAGAGTGTCAGCATGTAAGTCCATAGTGGCATTCAGAGATGGCACCACTGGCTCACAGCCTGTACCTTTGCAAGGTGCTGCATCTTTTCCTCAAACTACTCCACCAAAAAATCTCCACTGAACTCATTCACTTCCTAAGGTGGCTGCCACAGGGGTCATCACTATTCTTGGGCCCAAGAGAAAGGTGGCAGCTCACTCACTGGCAGAATAATTCAGCTGTCTGATATATTTGCAATACTGACAGATTAACTGCCAGATTATCTTTCAAGGTGCTTTTATATTTTATATTTTAAAGAATTGAAAGGATAGTTAGAAGCTTGGGTGAGAGCTTTTATACAGATATTTTATCCTTAAGTACAATAATTTCTTCAA